TTGGCGCCAAAATCAGTATGGCTTATCCTGTTAAATGGCTGCTTTTGGATATTAACATTGTTAATGCAACAAATCAGCAAGAACTTGGCACTTCTTTACTTTCCCGCCTCTTTTTAGTGCATTTTCCTTAGGAAACAATTCGCTTATTGGTCTAATTTGTCTGTCTGGTTAGCTGGTTGCTTACAGGTTGCCCGTTTGTCTCAGAACTGGAAGCACTTGAAGATTTCTAGTTTGCCCAACTCCAAGAAAGTTTCTTGCAATAAAATTCATTTGATTTGAATAAAAATTATTTAAAATTTATCAAATCCAGAATGTCAAATGTCCCTCAATATAAATAATACCAACAAAAAAAATTCAAATGTTCCAATTCATAACAGAAGAGATGTCCACACTTTTTGTTATATTTTACATATTTCCAGAGAAATAAACTATCGTTGAGAGATATTTTAATTCAGATCATTTTTCATTTAAATAATATGCATTCTTGTTTTAGTAAGTAAAAGTCACAGGTTATATTAAAGTGGATTTGATATTATGAACATTTTGTAGTTCAGACAGTAAATCTTGAAGCACAAAAAATTCAGAAAGCTTTTAATAAATTTCAAATAGGTTGAGAATTAGCAGAGCTCGAAGTCGATAACTTTTCTCGAGTCGACTTCGAGCTCTGGCATTAGAGCTTAAATCTTTTTGAAATTAATGTGCATTTATTTCTGCATATTCAAATCAGATCAAGGGCGTAGTCTATATGTTGATAAGGTGGGGGGGGGGGGACTTTTGTATGGAAACATTTTAGGGAGGGTGTGATTTTTGCAAATTTTTCATAAAAACCCTAGTAAAATGAAGAAATTTTTGATAAAGAAGGGGGGCTTGTCCCCCAAATCCCCTCCTTCCCTTGACTACGCGCTTGAATCAGATTCTAAAAATATTCTATATCAACTTTTCTAAAAAATCTATTTTGGTCAGATTTAGAAATACATATTTTGTCCCATATTGTGCTAAGCTTAAAGATTAAAATTCAGATAAGAATGTTTGATCTTGAAATGTTATTCTGACCTAAGAAGTTCGAATTAATTAATTTATGGAAAGAAGATCCTGAAGATTTTAGAGAATGTCTGATGTAATTTACCCACAAAGTGATTTAAATTAATTTTTTTTTTGAGAATGTCAAATGACTAAATGAAGACTCGATATCCTGGTATTCTTATGGGCACCACTTAAGTGCAGTTTCATAATAAATAATAATAATAATAAATTATTGGAAATATCGCTCAGAGGTGCTGCTAGGAGGAAGGGCTCAACCCAATTCACCCCTTTTTTTTTGAAAAATTGGATCAATTTGCTATAATTTGCTAGAAAAAACCCCAAATCTAACCTCGAAATATTTTTGGCTCAGTTCCTTAGTTCGCTTAACTTGGCATGGTCATGATTTTGTAAAAGTGTGAAACAAAACCTGTTACAAGGATGAGCTGAAGTCTATAAAGGAGTTTTTTAATGTTTTAAGTTCTTCGTCATCTTTTAATGCATGGATTTGGCACCCTCGGGGTGTATCCTAAACTGTATTCAAGCTTGACTTCAATATTGCAATCATTATTCATCAAATTTGATTCAAATATCCTTTATTGTATAAATTGGCAAGTCTGGTGCTTAGAATTTGTTGAAATAAGAATAAATAATTGATCCAAGAATTGCAAAAAACGAGAATCATTGTGCCAATCTTAAAAAGAGTGTCCATATCCAATTGATATCCATAAAATCAATCCATCAATTATTAACTCAATAATATCATTGCAGTTATTAATAACACCTATAATAACCATAATTCCAAAGTCAATAATCATCTATAATTCCCAAAAATAATCTCCCTTTGAACCCAGTATCACACCTTGATTCCCGACACAGCTACTCCACACAATAATTGACCAAAAAATTACACTCAATTAAATAATAAAAAATTACATGCAATTTAAAATAACTGCAAAATCATTTCAAGGAAGAGTCTTTTGTATTCTTAATAAGTAACACATAGAAAAAGAAGTAAGTAAGTTGAAAAATAAAAGAGTTATATTAATTGAGATAGAGTATAAGAAGATTGAAAATCAAGTTTTTCAGCCTCGCCATGTGTCATTTTATCATGTCACTCGAGCGGTTTCACCATAGGCGACGAGTGTGAACAGGGAGCTGCTTTATCTATTTGCGCTATATATATATGTATATATATTGAGAAGTAATATGTATGTGAAGCATAATTTATATCCATCGTCGTAGGCGCAAGCTCTAATAAATTGATACCTATCATAAACTCATGTTGGTAACATTTCCTAGCTCTTGCCCAAGGATTTATGAATACACATATTTTTTTGCTGTACATTTGTGACAATCTGTTCAAAGATATGTATCATTTGAAATGGTTGGAGCTGAAGGAGGGGGGATTTGTAAGTGACGTCTGTTAAAAAATTGATTTTTTAAAGTATTAAGACGATGAGGATCTTCAGGAGTTGAGATTAGATAAAGCTATGGAAATTAGGGTCTGTTGTCATTAAGCACGGAGTCAAGAGGGCCTTGTCCCCCTCTTAAGCGTTTTAGGTCGTGCTTTTGCTGTGGTTCAAAACGTTTAAGGGGGGACAAGACCCTCCTAGCTACTCGCCTGGTTGTCATGATTAAAAGAGAAAGCATTTATTAAGGAACTGGTAATTAAGAGGTGCTCATAATAATAATAAAATGATTTTAATTTGAAAACTTTTCGCTGGACATCAAACACTATTGCTAGATCGATATAGGACCTCAATATCTTCATAGATCCTTTCCAAGACCCTCTGCTGTGAAATTCAAATAAAAATCAAATTTTCAGAACATTCTCCAGCTCGAGATCCTCTCCTCTCTATAATCTACACATCACTCCCCAACAACCCCCACAAAATAACCAAGAAGAAGCAAGTCGAGCAGGAATTCTTCAATGGCAAGGAGACCAGAACCAGAAAATATTGCAATATTTATTCTCCAACCTTACTCAATGTCATTCCTACCAAGCATTCTCGCATGTTATCTCAATTAACAGCACATTCGAGAAGTGCAATAATTTGTTATAATGAAATACCGCATTCACAAATATCTCCGCCGACCGACTCGATTCTATCTCAATGTTTTTGATAAATGTCATTTGCATTCTAATTTAATTGAACAGTTGAAGTAAGGAAATTTTTTATTTTATTCTCTTTTTTTCGCATTTTTTTTTTTATTTGTAACCTGTCGCATTCAGGTATGGAAAATATTTAATGTCAACGTGCGGGGCAGTTTACATCTCTCTGTCTCTGTTCCTCTCACTCACTTGATCGTTCGTTCGCGTGAATAATCTCATAGGCTGAACAGAAATGGAGGAAAATATTCTGCGCAATTAGCTTTGGCGACAATTTATTTGTATGGTTAATGGTTGGCAATTATTTAAGTGAGAAATTGAACTTAATCTCATGTTTTGCTGTGTGCTTTGTTCTGGTCGATACAAGGTGTATTTACTGGTGATAAAAATTTTTATTATTTGATTTCTATTATATTACTTATTATGATTTGTTGACAGTAATGAAGATATAATAGGGAGTTGGTGGTCGGTGGCTAGATGAATGGGTATTAATTGCATAATGATGAAGGACAACATGCAATACTGGTCTTTATTGAGTTGCTAAGCCCTTAACAACACGCTAATATACACTAGAGCAGTGGTGGACAACCTTTTTTGAGCCATGGCACACCTTAGGGGTAGGTCATTACCAAAGTCGCACACAGCATGCGGCTCTCTTTCCAAAACCAGTGTGCCACGGCACAGAGTTTGAACAACACTGCACTAGAGCAATGGTGCACAACATTTTTTTAAGGAACGGCACGCCTTGGTGGAAAGCCATACATAAAACTGTACACAGCAAATGATGAGTGTGATTTCTCTAATTTTTTCTCGGCACACGGGTTGATCATCACTGCACTAGAAGATTGTTAAGCTTAGTTTTAGGATACGATAGGCTTAGCATGTATCACAATGGACTTGCATGGTTAATAAAATAAAGTATATATGATTAATGCCAGAGGTATCAAATCAATCTTTATCAGGGGCTGCGCCATTCCCTTTCTAGATCAGGGTTGCGATACAGGAAACTGTGCACATATGAGAACCATACAATTCCTTGATAATTTGTGAGGTTTTGTTGAAATTTATATGGTTTTGCTAGAAAAATCTTATTAATAATCAAGGGGCTGTTCACTTATTACGTAACGCGAAAAAATGACTTTTTAGACCCCCCCCCCCCTCGTAACAAAATTTGTATGAAAAAAAAATTTCCTTGTTTGAACCGTAACAAAATCTTAGACCTCCCTCCCCCCTAAAAGCGTTACGTAATAAGTGAATGGCCCCCAAGTAATTGTACAGTTCTCACCTGTGACAGGTGTTTGTATCGCAACCCTGCTCTAGACAACATCGGACAATACCAACCTACTATCGGCTGCTATAAGTCTATAAACTCATTTTCAAATAAAATTTCACACAGAATTGAAGAGGAAGGTGAGATTAATTGTCCAAAAATTAAACCATTCCACAAAGTTCCCATCCCTTGCTTATATCTCACTCTCCTAATACCTTCCCATTCCTTTACATCTTTCTAGCTGACCGGAGCTTTAGGCTAAATGTGTTTATAGATGTAATAATAATAAATTAAAGTTAAAGAGCACCCACGCGAGCTCGGTCATGAAATTGATCAAGAGGAGTCGAGGCAAGCAAAGATTGAGAATGAAAACAAATTTATAGATATTGTCACAAAGAAGCTGTGTATAATCCCCACATTCAATGATTTTCTTATATATGAGATTATTAATAATAATAAAAATTGAGAATATTTTTTCATCATGTGATTAAGTGAAGAATAAAAAATAATGTCGCTTAAAGGCTTTAAGTATCACGGACAATTCGTAATAAAATTCAAATTTGGATCATAAATTATTAAAACACAAAAAACACTCACCTTAACATATTCAACGCAAATTGCAATGCTTTCAACAAAACTGCACACTTCATCCACATTCCATGCATTAATTTCATCAATTTTCATTTGGCATTTACGTTGTGTTGACTGTATTGTAGCTGTTTGCTCGCTATTATTACTTGTTGTACTACTGCTACTGGACGATGAAGTACTGAAACCTGATGTTGACGTTGTTAATTGATTGTTTGTCGTTGTGACATTGGGCGATGTCGCTTGCTGTTGCCGTTGTGCTTCCGTTGTTGTTGGCGATAATTTGATTCGCTTTGCAAGTGGTGGCGTACTTGATGAACTGAGATCAAGTGGTGAGACACCCATCGTTGGATTGTTATCATTGATTGGACTTTTGTATGGAATATTTGTTGTTGTTGTTGTTGTTGATGATGCTGATGGTATTTGTGATCCAACTGGTGGTGCAGGTGGTGATCGTGTTGAAAGTTGATGAAGCGCTTGGAGATTTGAGAGGGCGGGGAACGGATTAAAATTATTAAAACTACCTAAATTTGGCATCTGTGTTGACGTTGATGGAAAATTATTGAGGTTGGGAAGTTTACGTGGCTTGTCGGCGTCTTTAATTAATTTTTGCATTTCTGCTTCTTGTGCTGCTCTCGCCTGTAAGATGTATGGAGATGACAACGATTAATTAATAATTGTGAGGTCAAGCAAGATATTTTTGCTGAGCATTTTTTAAGTTGAAAATTGAGGTATTTAAGATGGTTTGGGTGGGTTTGAGTGGCTTAATGGTGGGCTTGTTGGATGACTGACAGCCTATTTGACTGCAGAACTAGATTATTAAATGACTGAATGACTGATTGCTTTATTATACAAATTATAGACCAATTGACTGGCAAATTAGATATTTTTAAGCTTATTGCCTAAGTCTGATCACTCAAGCATTCATAAATGCGCTTTAGCCACCCACATTCCACTTTCAAACCTCCCAATAAACCAGCAAAAATAACTTAAAAGAGAAAAATATAATTTTTGATAAGTAAAACCACTTACAAGTAGCACCAATGCCCTCGTGCTTCCCATATCGAGCATTGGATTGAAAATGTTATTTTGATTGAACTGAAGACTTGAGAATAAAGATGTGAGGAGATTTTGATTTGATGGAATCTGTTGGATAAACATAAATAAAAGTGGCATTTTAATGTGAGGCAGATGATATGAAAAAAAAAATAATGTTTAGTCTTACTTGTGGAGGCGAGCTTGGCTTTTTGTCCAACGATATTGATGTGTCGCGACTTGATTTGATTCTAGAGTCCATAAATGTATTTTTGGGTGTAGATAAGCTGTAAATGTGAGATGAATAAAATAAATATATAAATTTGGAGATTAGGGTTGGTTTCAAGTTGCTGTTTTTTGAACGGGAAAATGTTTTTGGAGTTTTTTAAAAAAAATAATGAATTTGAAAAAATTGATTAATTTTACACAAAAATAAAAAAAATCAAAAAAATTCAAAAAAATTCGAAAAAAATTCAAAAAAATTCAAAATAAATTTAAAAAAATCAAAAAACTTAAAAAGTTTAAAAGGAAACTTAAAATCAAAGTTTCAAATTTAATTTAATATATTTTACAACTTCACTTTCCCCCTCAAAACTTAAATTTATATAAAGTCATTCAAAAACCTACTCATTGGAATTGATATTGCTATTATTGTTATTGTTATTATTATATTTGGCAGCTAGTGTTCTCATCATATCGGAATAATTAAGTGGCGGAAGCTCTGAACGTTGTGTATTGCCACCGTTGTTACCATTCCCCAGATGTGTCGTCGATGCTGACAACAATGAATTGATATTTGGATTACTCATCAAATTATTTGGTTGTGCTGTCTGTGGCGGTGTTACTGTTCCAATATGATTATGTGACTGTGGTGTTACACTTCGTGGTCTAGAAATGACAAAAAGAAGTAATAAATGTAAATTTATTTCTTATTGATTTCATATTTTTTCTGTGTCGAGCTTGCAAAAAAAAAATATTTTTATAGTTTAACAAAATGCTGGTTGATGCGACAATCACAAACAATATAAAAGTGATATTGGGCGAGACTCGCGCTCTCTTTTTTCACAATCATCGTAATATGTCTTAAATATCAAGGTCAAATCATATTGAAAAATTAGTCGAGCATTTATTTCAGCTTTTCTGCTGCTGCTTACTTTGTTTAACACTCATTTTGATAAATGATTTGGATAGACGCTGCTGTTCAATGAAATTATTTAAATTTAAATTTATAGCTTTATCAAGAAATTAATTTCAATGACAGGGAACAGAGGTAAATTGAATGAGAAAAACAAAAAGATGAAAAATTGATTTTTGGTGTGGATTTCGATGGACGTTTGGCGCATTTTTCGGTGATTTCAATGATTTTTTTATTTTTTAACTTTTGAAAATTTAAAAGAAATTTATAAATTATTTTCAAAAAATTCATAAATTATTTTTAAAAAATTCATGAATTAATTTTAAAAAAATTCATAAATTAATTTCAAAAAATTCATAAATTAATTTCAAAAAATTCATAAATTAATTTCAAAAAATTCATATCGCATTTTTCAAAAATTTATAAATTATTTTAAAAAATTAAGTTTAAAATTTTTTAAATTAAATTTCTCATTAAATTTGAATTATTTAAATATTTTTGAAGCTAAGATGTGAAATATTTTAAATTTAAATGTTTTAAATTTTTACATTGCAGTTTTTAATAATTTTTATTCTTATTTGCATTTAAAATCAAATTAATCTTGAATTTAAATTAAGTTTATTTTAAAAAAAATCTAAACTCATTAGAACAAAACCAATTCATTCATTAAAGTCCATTTAAATTACAAACTCTATAACTGATGAGCCGTAAATCCTCGCCACACAAAAAGTGCAGCTAATTCTTCACCTCATACAGTTAAACTGAAGACAATACCCAACCTTCTTTGATAAAATGCGTTTTGAAAAATTGGCATTAAAGATAAATGTGAAAGAGTAATTAAGTAGCGTGTATAAAAGTCACAATACAAGAAGTGACCGTAGACCGTATGAGAAATATAAAAGAAAAGAAAAAATAATAAAAAAAAAGTTGTATTGAAACGGCAGAAAAAAGTCGATTCTCATAAGAGTTCACCATTGAATGATGAGAATGAAAAAAAGGTAAAAGAAACATAATGTAGCGATATTTCTCATCATCGTTCATGTAAAGTATTGTACAATTGGCTTCGCTAACTGAAAATTGATTTTCTTTATGACCATCGATTGAATGAAATCTGTAATGAAATGAAACAATGAAGGAGGAGGATAGGGCAGTACTAACAGTGAAAGCCATCATCTCATATAAGCTTTTCATGCTATATGTTATCCATTCATTCACAGAACTTGACGGAAATCGAAAGATTTAAATGATGGTACAGTTAAGAAGCATGTCGAATTTTTTGAGCTTCTTAAATGATTGAAAATCATGTGGAAAATATGCGATATTGATTTGTTTTGTTAGCTTGATTTTTTGGCAAGGTTGGGTGTCACTAAAGGTGACTCTTTGTTCTGTTTGTGGCTGTTTGTAATTTTTATATTTTGCAAAGTTGCCAAAAAAATGTTAAAAATTTTGATTGACTTATAATTCATTTTTTAAATTTAAAAAACTTGTCAACTTGAATCAAAGAGCATTTGACTGGACTTAAAAGTTTCTCAACTTCACTTTAAAATTCGAAGAATCAGCTTAACAATTCATCAAGTTTATTACAAACGTTTTAAGTTGATTCAACAAATATTTAAATTGTTTTAAAAGTCTCTAAGTTGAGTAAAAAAAAGTCAAGTTGACTCTAAAATCTTCAAGTTGAGGAAAAAACGGCCATGTTAACCCAAATATTTTCAACTTGACTTAGATTATTAAACAATACATTTAAAAATTTCTTAATTTTAAGAAAAAGTCTATCAAGTTGATAAAAAATATTCAAGTTGAGCAAATAAAAGTCAAGCTGACTCAAATGTTTTTCAATTTGGCTTAAATTTTTAAAAATGAACATTAGTTTTATACAAAAAATACTCAAGTTGATCAAAAAATGTCAAGTTGATTAAAATCTTATTCAACTTGAATAGAAAAAGTCAAGTTTACTTGAATGTTTTACAGTTCGATTATAAGTTGTCTTCAGAAAAAAATGCTGCTTAAACCCAAAATGATTGACCAAGATTTTCCCCACAATTTTTGCACGGAGGATAGACACCACCAGCGAGCAAAAAAATATTCTTCCATCCCATTCTTTATGGGAAACTGAATGTGATGTGCCGTAAAATCAATTATTGGAAATAAAAGGCTAGAAAATCACTCACCTATATATTGATAAATCGTTGATTAATGGCGGACTAAGTCTCTCGGTTTTCACAGGTCCATTACCATTTGTCTTATTGCCATTATTAATTCCATTGCTCAACTTACTCAACGACGTAATTTGACTAAGTTTTTGTGCCGTCGCTGGTGATAATTGACCATTTTTAATAAAGTTCATATTACTATCTGATGAGCTTTTAATAAGTTTATCGCCAAATGGACTAACAGCGGTCATTGGTGGCACACTATTATTGTTAATCACCAAATTACCATTATAATTATTATTATTATTGTGTAAAAAATTTTTGTTATTATTTTCAATTTGTTTATTGCGCTCATTAAGCATTTTATCAACGGAATATTGGAGTGTATTGTGAATGGGTTTTCGTTTGGCGCGAGCATTTTTGTGATTTTCACTGTTACTCAAATTACCGTTCACCGATGCTCCATGTGGCGATATTTGTAATGATGGTGATGAGGCAGTTTGAGGCGATGATTCTGATGTTATTTCACCTGTAATTGAAAATAATGTTAAATTATTATTTATTTCTATTTGAAAATCATCTTCACGATGCTGATTTTATTTTTTTCTGTCGAAAATTGTAAATGATTTAAATTAAACTAAGTAAAAATTGTGCCGCTGAGCACTCAAAGAGCTATTTTAGAAATCAACAAATTGAAGCAACTGAATTCTTAACGGTTAAATGAATGAGTTTAGTGTTCTTAGATTTGAACTTTAATTCCCTTTTTTTCTCCTCACATTTCATTCATTTTACTATAATAAAAAAAGATTATGGCTGAATAAGAAGAGGAATTCCATTTATAAGACAACACAAAAAAAAATTTATGAAACAATGGCACTTTTTTTACTCTATAGCATAATTATGATGATTACGGGCAAACTATAAGAGTAAACTAATGTCACATCATTATCATAAAATTATCAATTTCTCGAGTTTATACTTGGACTTTAATAGTTTTTAACAGCACAAATGGCAAATGTTAAATTCAGGGATGAGCTTTTGTTGACTTCCATGCTTGGAAATTATTGTGATGGGATTTAAAAGTTTTCTTATGGCTTTTGTGTTTTCTGATAACTAGTCAGCATCTAGATCAGTGTTGTCTAAACTTTTTCCGAAGTCGCATACTGCATGCGGCTCATATCAATTCCAAAAAATTCTACGGCATATTAGGGTGCCGTGGCATATTGTTTAACAACACCCGAATAGAACAAGTCGGTTAATCGAATATAAATTCAGCACTTAGTCGGCATAACTCTGACATGGTGTTGGCTTCGATTTAAATTCAGCACCGTGTCAGATAGCAAATAGCTGAATTGAGCTATTCGGGACACTGATCTAGATAAATTTGATATTTGTCAGATCTTCAAAGATTCAGAGATTGTGTCTTAAGTTCTAGATTCAAAATTTGACTAATTGAAGATTTTGATTAACTTTAGCCGAATTTTGTTTCCAGTTCTTTTTAAGCTACGGCTAAAATACCATTTGAGTTAAAAGCTCTCAGTTAACATAGTTTCTTGTGGATTCTTATGGATCTTATTCGATCGTTTCTTTCACCAAATTATGAGCTGCTATATTTCTATGATTTCTTGAGCATTGGATGAGTCCTTGTTAAATCGACCTTGTGGTTGGAATCGAACTCTTGTTCATACAAGAGAGAGTCTCGTAAAACTAGGCTGTTGAGCAATCACTTGACTCCAGAAGCCATATTCTCGCATTAGTTGAGTCCAGCTTATATAGTTTAAAACCCTAGCATTGCTTTTTTCTCAGACATCACACTCTATAGTCGACTTGAATTTAAAATATTGACAGCACAGTATTATAAAAGGTATGCAAACTATGTTTTAGTTAAATCTCCAACCAAAAATCTAAATAAAGTCACGGAACGATTCACAAATAACTGAATAAAAACATTTCAAACTTACTGACTAGATTTGTTGAAAAGTAAAAAGAAATTCACAAATTACGAAGTAATGCATTAACATTTTAATCTACATCAAACATCAATTTTCAACAATCATCCCATAACTCATGCATTTGTTCGCCCATTCTTCAACCATTTAACCCCAAAGATCAAAACATTCGACACACTAAGTTTTAAAAAAAATCTTCAAATCAAGATAAAAATTATCCTATCGCAAATGTAAAGATTCAAAGCCAAAAAGTCACCCAAGTTCACATAATTCACATGGAAGTCAGTCCATTGATGAATAGACGAAGAGCAAGGCAAAACGAGAATGAAAGAAGAAAAAAAAAAGTATATGTAATAAAAGATTGTGTACGACTTATAAGGAAAAAGTCTTCATATAGCGAAACAGCAACATTCGACACCGTGCTCGATGTCAACACAATTTAAGGTTAGGTTGAGGTTAAAAGCAACAAAAACAAAAATTGTAAAAGAATGAAAAGAACAACATGACAAAAGAAGGCAATTTGCATTCCTATCCTCGCCTTCAACCATTGCATTTTCAAACTACACTTAACTGACTTACAATAATTGTGCAATGTAAATAGGTGTCGTTGCCAGATCAAGACACATTTCAAATAATCCCTCGAGCAATGCTCACATATGCTAATTTATATTCCGCGATGAATTTGTGCCAAACGAATAAAGAACAACAATAATGAAAGAGAGAACAACAACATTATTTTTTCCAGGTCTCTTTTTTTAACATAACTGAAAAAACAAATCCCTTCTCACTTTTTTTTTGGTGCATTTTTTATGCTGTGGAGATAAAGGAGGTTAATTTTGATGTTTTGTCTGTTTGTCTGGAAAATTAAATATTACTGTATTGACTGATTTTGATGTCATTGAGTGTTGTCCAAACTTTAGCTAAAGCATACATTAATCTACGACACATAAGCGTGCTGCTCTAATAAAACAAATGTTTCGAAGTTTCCTAGATTATTATTGAGGATCCTTGCATTCAGTTTAATAAAACTAGTTTACAGAGCCTTCGTTAAGAAGATAATTCGTGAATGTATTGCAAATGAACGGAAGTCTGACTCGACGGTGTGTCTACAGCAGAAAATGGATGTATCAAAGAATTGAGAATAATTCAGAGGAATCCTAAGAATTAACCTTGCAGGGATTATCGATGTACGAATAGAATTGAGTCTATTATTCTATATAAGTCAGTGTTTCTCAAACTTTTTTGGTCAATGGCACATTTTTATACGTTAAAATTTCCGCGGCACACTTTTTAATTTTTATGACCTTTTTACCACGTTTTTCTTAACTTGCTTTCTTATCTGTCTGTTTATCTGTCTGGGTCAAGTTTTGTGATCGATTTTTCAACCACTTCTACTGCTCCAATCGAGCTGAAATTTTGCATGCACTTATTTGAAGTCATAAAACACGAAAATAAATGAACGGCATACAGTTTGAGAACCACTGACATAAGTCAATCTATTATTTGGTTCACTTATGATATTCATAGTGGAAGAGGAGGTGGGTGTAGCTACAAAAGAACAATAGAAAAATAATTCTGTTTTGAAAAATTACCGTTGATATCGGACGTCATAAGTGGATAACCCAATACTTCTATAAATCCTTCAATTAATCGAAGAAATAAAAAATGCGCCTTAATTTATCACACTCTTAACAATTCCTTACTTGTTTTTTTTTGTTTTCTTTCAATTTAAATATTTGTAGGTGTTAAAAACATAAAAGATTTGTATGCAAAAATGAAAAAAAAAACTTATTTGTGCAATTTTTTTTTCGCTGCCTTTAATATTCATGTGGTGAACTATCAAAATTGTGAAACGAACGAAGCAAAAAAAAAATGAAAATGAAAAATAAAGTGAAAAACCTGTCACACGCTTTTTTTCATACAAAAAGTAAAAGAGAAACAATTTGACGGATAATGTAGTTTGGCACATGAGCCATAAAGCATAAAGGCGCAAGCAATGAATTACATTTTTTTTCTCCTTTATTGCGCGGCTCTGCACGATTGTCGCAATTTATATCGCCTGAAAGTGTTGAAAGCTTAAAAAATCATTTCATGTAATAAGACGTATGAGTGGCTTTTTTTAATGTGCGACTACATAATTTACAATAACGCATCAATTTCTGTTGTTTTCTTTTTTATTGTGTAGTAAGTATTTACTTGTGTTTATTCAAACAATTGGGCGTTTTACAGTCAACTGACATTGGGGATATGAAGTGGATAATTTACAACTAAGTATGGAATGTGTTTCATCGCTTAATAGGATTTTAAAGTTTTATTGTCAAGTGGAGCTTTTGTACTAATTATTCAATGATTATGATGCAGCACAGGGTCGAGTTTTAAGCACAAAATAATCAAGAAAAGTTTTGTTTAGAATTAGGGTTCAGTAGGAGTATGTGGATCAGTGATGCCCGACCCATGTGCCGCGAAAACATTCAGGAAATCCCACGAACCGCATGCGAGGAAATTAACTTAACAAGGAAATGGGGCTTGATTGATCACACGTTAATGAAAGGCCCTGCAGATATAACGCGACAAGCTGTATTCTGGAATCTCCCGGGTAGGTGAAAACCTGGGAGACTTAGTGCTACTTGGCAATCGTCTATTCGTAAAGAAGCGGCCCAGCATGGCTATCAACTCAATGAGCTTGTGGCATTAGCTAGCAATAGCTTTAGATTCAAAAGTTTCTTAAACGCCCTACACTTCACAGTGGAGTAGAAGGACATCAGCATCATCATAATCAAGGTGTGCATTGGCACTAAAAAGGTTGTCCACCACTAATGTAGATCAATATATATCAAGACTTAAGATTTGAATTTAAAGTAATTTTTGACTCCAAATTTCCAGAGAGAATCAAACTTTAGGTATGTTTGAGAACGAAGCTTATTTAATCTGATTTAATCTAGAATGTCTAAGAAGTTTTTAACGAGCTCCTGAAAAATTAAATTAACTTAAATTTAAACAGGAGCAATGTAAGCTCATGAGGATCTTAGGCAGCTAGCTTGTTATCTGTTAGCTGCTTTTATCATGACAATGAATACAAATTTCAGGGATGCAGTTGGCAATTTATTGAAGTAAGTAGACATTAAGGATGTTTTTGACAAACTATGTATGAAACAGTTGGCTCCGATGTTGCCTTAGATACGTTGCCTTACCATAAGACTCTTTTAGATAAGACTGAACCTGGTATTTTGCAAAAATTAAGCAAAATTACTTCCTTGTCATTCAAGTATTATGGTAATTGGGTCGAGGGAGTCGTAACTTTACATCACCTAATAAGTAATTGACACCTTTGACTTCCAAGTACACGAAACCTATAAAAGTAATTCAACCTACTCAAAAACTGCATCAAATACTCAACAATAACAAAGATCAACTCTGTGTCTACATCTTTACCTCGCACACTACTGACTATAATTGAAAAATAATCACATAGATGCACACAATATTTATTTTTTTGTAGTTATTCTATTGATCTGACGAAGCTTTAATATAATATAAATTTTTTACTTATTTCCCTTTTGCTCCATTGTTCATTATACTT